TGCGGTGCGACCCTCCGAGAACCCCCCGACGCCCCGGGCGGTGCCGCAGGGGAAGGGAAGGGTTTTCCTGCGAGGATCCCGGTGCGCAGTCGGGTCGGAAGCGCTCCCGGGCTGCTGGAAGGTCGCTGTCAGTGCTGTGAATGCTTCTCGAGAAGCAGGACTGTGTTCTGGGGAGACCTTCTTTTGCGGGGCGTTTTCAACTCTGCTTTCTTCCCCCCCCCCCAGGTTTGTGTGCTCGGGAAATCTGAAGCAGTTCTCCTCAAACCAAACAGGTAAAACTACTTGTGTTGTAGGAATATTGCTAAAGGCTTCAGTTGCAAGCAGGCATGCAAATTTTGGCAAATTATAATGCCAAAAAAGGATTTTTAGATGCAGGCCATGCTGCTTTTTTTTTTTTTTTTTTTTTTTCTCAGGAAGTTTAATGGTTCAGAGCAGGGATGCTTGATGAGAAGGTTGTGTTACCAGAAAGGTATCTAGACCGCTCTAGAATATATTGATAGTTGTGGACCTGTAGTTAATTTTACGTGTATAACTCAGTATCCAAAGTTTCTTTAACATGATATTAGCTACTATAAACAAGCATCCTGAAACAGACTTAAGTTTGACCATTTGTTTGTGACTGCGTAGTTTTCCTTCAGCTAATGATTAATTTTTTCCGAGGCGGACAATGTATTATTTTTATACTTATTTTTAAACTAAAATTCCTCTTCTTCTCCCCCCTCCCCCCCCAATACTTCTACATCTTCTTCCCACTGACTGGATATTATATGCTCTATACTTAGTTTCCACATTTGAACTCTCAGGATCCCTTGGGATTTAGCTAAAGTAAACACACCCATTTTAGTTTGACTGGGAGTCGGTAGTGCGCAATAGCCCTCGATGACTAATGAGTCAAAGATAATCCTGAAGTTGTGCAGTCTAGTCTCTTAGTGAAAGTTTACTTTTCCTAGGAAAAAGAAACCACCCCAGAAGTACAAGTAGAAATTCTTTGAGTATGTATCTGACTTTGGCTGAATATTGTCTTGTATGCTTGAGATGTACTATGCTGCAGATATGTTAAGTGTGTTTTTGTTGTTTGTTTGTTTTTTTTAATAAGTACAGAACTTACAGGTTGCCATGTTCATGTTGGTTGTGTTTGGATTGTTACTGCAAGAAATTCTAGCTAATTCCCAAGCTGAGAATCTTACTGAATTCAGAAACGTTCCAGAAGAGCCATTATACAGCTACAAAGCTATCAACTTGCCAGATGAACATATTCCATACTTTCTGCACAATAATCAGCATATTGCTGGCATCTGTAAGCAGGATTCCCATTGCCCGTATAAAGTAGGTTTGCTTTTTGTTTGTTCAAATGTAACGATGGGGTGGTTTGTTCTTGGAGTCATGGCAGCTAAAGGTGGTGGTGAATTGGTCTCCTTGCCAATTAGTCAATTCCACTCGGAATTGGAATTGTTGCTTTTGAAGTAGTTGTACAGGGCTCTTCCTGAATCCGATGCTGTCGCGAGACTGGATTTTTAACGTTTTGTTTTGCAAGACTTCTATTCCCCCCTCTTTTGATTGTTTCAGATCATCATTTCAGCTCTGTATCTGGATGACTCTTGTGCATGTGAAAGACGTTTGAAGTACAGTTAGTAATTTCTAGGCCTGTGATTTTTAGCAGTGCTGTAGCACTTCGGCGGAAGTGTCAAGAGTACAGGCAAATCAATGAAATGCTGATTTCACCTTCCCCTGTGGTTGCATGTAATGCATTCACCTGAAGCAGGCACAGTGAACCTGGGGATCCAGGCTGCGTGTGGCTCAAGAGCAGTTCTAGTGCTCTCAGGCTGGAGCTGCTGCATCGAGCTGGGGGTGCGAGCTGTGCTCCCCCTTCTCTGGCTTTCTGCAGTGCTGCAGAAGCCCGTGTTTCTAGGTTTGCCTGGCAAGCGGTGGTGCACTCAGCCTGGAGCACTGTGCTTTGTGGGAGCTTGGCTTTGCTACCTGTATCTGTCAGTGATGTTAAAATTTTGGAATCCCGATTCGGTTATTCTGTGTTACAGAAATACTTGAAGAAACTAAGATCCTGCTGGGGTTATGAGAAATCTTGCAAATCGGATCACAGTTTCAGCTACCCGGTGTGCGATTATGTTGAGACTGGGTGGTGAGTTTAATTTTAAATGTATAAAGCACAGCATGTTAAAAAAGAGTATAGTGCTCACCTTCATATTAGCTGTGAAGTTAAAATTACTGTGATATTTAGAGGTTAAAGGATGATTCTTTGTGGAGATACGTGTATTTATGTGTGTGTATTTATAGATAACATACGTCTTTCAACATGATTTTAAGAATTGAACTTTTTAAGAAAGAAAATACTGTTTGAAATGCTTCCTGCTGCAATGTTTTCATTATTCTGATTTAGCCTTGAATTCAGATTCCTAAAATAACTCTGGATTTCCTTTCTTAGCTTTCTTAGCTTTAAAAACAGAGGAAAAATGTTTCTGAAAAAACATATACCCTTTTACGGGAGAATAGCTTTAAATTGTCATTGATGTTTTCAACTTACATGCAGCTGATAAGTTGCTTCCTGTTTTGCATCTTAAATGTCAATAAAGTAGCTGGCTGGCTCTTCTGGTCCACTTTCAGTGGAAAAAATTTTATCTGTGAAAGTTATTACTAGAACTGAACAACAGACTTGTTTTCAAACAAAAACAAAAATCTGTTTTTGTTTC